CCTCAAACTCCTAATCCCCAAAAGGCTTGTAACGCACTTGTAACGCCTCTGGTGTTCCAGGTGTCCATGGGTGACGCCGATTGCTTACCATCAGGTGATCCGTCAGCTCGTTTACCGGCTTATGCCATAAAAAACTGAGTAACACACACACACATCAACAGCCTATAATGCCCACTGCTGAGCATTAATCACCACGCTTGCACAATGCGGGTTGGCACTGAGTAACATGTAGGTCCTAATTCCGAACTCAATCTGCCTGGCCTACTTTGCAATCCTCTCAACCTCTTCAATCCACAAACATTGGTTGCTTATCTAATACAATTTCACACATCTTTGATCCAGTTCCAGCTGCACAATTAGTTAGCATTCCCAGTTCATCTACAATTTACAGAAACGTTTATTTAATTCAACGAAATTTAGTTAAAGCAAGACTTGATGAATGGTGTGTTTATGCAAGCTTCTTGCGTTTGCACGAAATTGAAACTAGGGAAATGTACCTAGTGAATGATATACGGGCGCAGATATATGAGGTAATATGTATGTTGATTAGTAAGAAGAATTTCTAGAGGTAAGTTTTTAAAGATATTTTGCTTATAATTATAAGCAAATAATTAATATCGTCGTGTGAGTGAGGTTACAGCAGGCCCAATTACCCCTCCCCCCGCCCCCAATCCCTGAATCCCCAACAAGTCTCAAATTCCTAATTCCCAAAAGGCCCGTAACGCACTTGTAACACCTCTAGTGTTCCAGGTGTCTATGGGCGATGCTGATTGCTTACGATCAGGTGATCTGTCGGCCCATTTACCGACTTATCCTATAAAAAAAGAAAATAGTAGCATAATAATTTATAACTTATATTTATATCTTTGACGATATAATATACTCCTTACAAGATGTCCTTCACAAAAACCATCTTCGACCTTATTTTCTATCCCATACTTTCAGTTCGACTCAATAAAGATTAACTTTTTAATTCCTTGTAAGACGGGGACCCAATCGATAGGCACCTGTCCCCGGGGGCCCCGATTGGCTGACCTTTCAGTGTTGTCGTGATAAATTGATTCTTTTGTTGATGGACCACTCGGGTGCCAGTGTTGATGGCATCGTGAATTGTCGCCTGACTGATTGTAGAATGATAAAGGTGAGAGCCTCGGAATTATTGCTGGATACAGTAAAATAAATTGTAAATTAAATCCAATAAGGTTGGTAGTTGTTATTTTTTTTAGGTAAAATGGTAAACATTTTGATGCTACTGTTATTGATTGTTATACAGGAACACTTGTTATATATTGTTATAGGTACCACTTTCCTAGTCAGTGCGATTTTACTACAAATTAAATCAAACATTGTTTTTTGTCAACTTTAATTATAGGAGGTTCTCAGTTCGACCATATGTATGTATATATGTTTATGCGCGTTTATCTCGTGATTGGCTGTACCGATTTTGATGCAGTTTTCAGAAAGACGTTTGTTACAGTTAGGAGAAGGTTTTAGTATATTAATTAACCGACTTCAAAAAAAAACAGAGGAGGAGGAAAGAGCAAACGAATCACCTGATGGTAAGCAATCAGCTTCGCCCATGGAACACTAGAGGTAAAACAAGTGTTTAAGTTCTTATGGATGTCAGAAGGGAAATGAATACCCATAAATAAAAGTTCAACCATTCGGACTTCGGTCAGTTATAAAAAGTTCTATTAAAAATAATTAGTAACTTTATCTACACATTAATTCGATTATATTGAAAGTTACTACTGTTTATTACAGTTATGCTATATGGTACATAAGGGCTATAATAAAATGCCAGTGAAGTCGATAGCATGGCAATAAACTAAATATGTGTCTAATAGGCAATTATACCATAAACATTGCCATAAGAAATCAACGGTGAAGAGATTATTTTATTACTCTCTTTCTCTGGCGTGGAGTATGGTTATAATGGAAGGCTCATGTTGTGGCTGACCATATACCATGAAGTTATGTACAATTTAAGTAGGTTAAAATAATTATTTGTATTGTACTATAACTTTCGTGCAACATACTAAATAAATTATTATGTTTTCGGCTTACTCATGTAATTGTTTGACGAGGAACTCGACTAGTTTCAAGCCATGCTAGAGGCTCATATTCATGAGGAGCATTTCGCGACCTGCGACGCGGCGACTGTCGCGCTGCTACTGCGTAGCTCCTAATAATTTTAATATCGCCAATATCTTAAAACACTTCTTTAGAGAACCAAGCATTCGCATTAATCCTCCATTAACTCATTACTCTATGCTTAAAATGGAACCTTTTAGCAAGTTTATAGAGTGATTGAATAGGTTTTATAGCATGCATTCATCAGACGAATAAATTACGACAAGAGTATAATTTTATGATCACGTGAAGCTTTTGTGAGTGACTACTAATTGCGAACCAATGGACAAGCTTGGACCTTTAAGACGGATATGCGGACCTTTGAGAATAAAGTCAAGATGTCCAATTTATGATTGGAAATCTTATATATCTTTGAGAAGATATGTATGTTATGTAGGTCAATGATCAACCTAATTATGAACATATTTAGTAATAAGGTTTCTTTAAAAATCTGAAGTTGGATTTTCTTTGAATGACAAAATTAGAAAGATCTGGGTATCTTTATTTCTTTAGCTGTCCGTTTTAAGACTCTTCAGTTGGTCCTTTCTTAGCTTTATTGGTCTTCCAATTTACCAGCTATGGAATATATGCATAATTATGTACTTACCAAATCATTAATTCGTTGAGTGTTTAGCGATATCTACCAGTAAATATAACTCATGGTACCGTGTGACAACGCCAGAATACCCTCAACAAAATACGGGTATTATGGATCTGTTTAAATGAATGCCTTCGTTTCAACAGTTCCAATTGTAAATTTTGTGTCGACACATGCGGGTCAAAATGGAAGAAAAACAGTCCGAGAGTTTGCACCAAACTTTGAGATCTTTCTGCTCTGTGACATCCTAATTGTTCAATTCGAAAGCCTCCACATTGTTCTCTGTTCAAAATTCAAATAGAGAATTCAAACATGTTTTGAGTAACGGACTTTTTGGTAACAGTTACACGTATCGTTAGCTGCCAAAAGATTTAAGACTTTATCTTTTTGCAGTAAAGTCGAAAATCTAATGAATACATTTTATAGTTTTAGGGTAGTTTCATGTGCTGCCTTAACATCATTGCTTGAATATAAAAATGATAAGCAACTATCACTTTTATCTCTCTAGTTATAGGGGTGAATATTCAGTGGCTTCAGTTTAAAGGTTATTTAGATTTGTTATGAAGGGCTGTTATCGTACTCGTGGGTACTATCAATTCAATTTAAATTAAGCTTGTTACTAAAGGGTTTATTAATGTTCCTTTTATGTAATTCGTTCAAGGTTAATGTTGTATTAGAATGGGGTAGCCAGCTGAGTTTTGTAACAATAAACCTGCCTTTTGCTATTTGAATTTACGGTAAAATAGGTATAAAATGAGAAAATATCACTGATGTCGGGTAAAATGCTTTTGTTTTGAATTTGTTAGTAAATAAATTTTTACAACACTGTCAAGGATATAAATTACATGGAATGCTAGGCCTTTTCAGACGGAGAACCTTAAGATCTTAGATACAAATAGTACTCTACTCACTAAAAAGAAAGAATTTCCTAAGCTTCACTCTCAATTACCAAAACGTACCCAGTTGTAGCCTAAACAGTAAAGATAAATCCTAATTCAGCCGCAAATCAAGACAAAAAAGGATACAAACCTTCAAAGCCTTGACCTTCACGCATTGTCCCGACAACATAACAAAAAAAAAAAGAAAAAAACTTTACGATTTCAAATATGGAAGCTGAACACGTTTCAAGTCTTCAATAAGGTTTTATACCGCCCTTAGTAAACGTTCTGAATGCCAGCAGCGGTTTTATAGGATGAGCGGTAAAACCCAAACACTTAGAGGTCCCTGTTATCTACCCATCTAGCATATTGTGCGTTTCGGCGGCTTGTTACGATGTCTAAAGTACTGGGGGAATTTACGGGGCGGTATTTTGTGCTGACACGATGGTAGGACTGTTAAAATGAAGAGACGATTTTCTATTGAAAGTTCTTGTGAGAAATGAAGATTAATTTTAGAATATACGTTATTAATTTCTTGTGTATTAGTCAGTTTGTGAAGATTCATATATTTTTTTTGATAATGCTAGAGAAGCTCTTCCATGAATAACAGTTACCATTGCTTAAATTTGTAACATCTAGACCATTATTTCTCAGAATAATTGTTTTAGTTTCATAAAGATGGCATTGTGTATACACGAAAAAACGCTAAACAATACTTAAGGGAAAATATTGAATTGTCTTATAATGAAACAAAACCGGACGGTACATGTCCTCCCGCTACAGTTGAAGTGAGAACACAGTCCCGTACATTCCACCTGATGCTTTTCCTGCTATAAAATTTGCATAACTACGCTCCTTGGCACGGGAGCAGCGTCTTATTAAATTTCCAACCCCTCCAAAAGTCATTAATGGTTTGTATTTAACCACCTACCAGTGTTATCTAGCCATAAATCATAAGGTATCAAGTGTAATAGTCGTGCGTGGCTGGCGATGACTTTTATTGCTCCTCCAAGATGGCAGTAATCCCCGGGTCTTGGGTTTCTCGACGCGGTAGGATTACCCCTAATCTTTTGTTTATACGTATTCTTTTTCCAGAAAATATTATGATATTAACGTAGCTAATTCGTCGCGGTTTTGTGCGCAGTAGGCAATACATTACTGTTTGTTCGTAAGGTTATTTAAATGAGATTCTTTTGCACAAAGTGATGGATTGTTTTCGCTTCTGTTATAAGAATTCTTTACGGCGAGAAATGTAATAAAAGCGTAAGATCGTAACCATACTTTTATTTTATCGTCGAATTTTAGAATCTTTACAATCCGGCAATCCCGTTCGGAAAATGAAGAAATCAAATCGCTTTTATTACAGCTTTAAAATAACCAACAGAACGTAACGACACTTTATTTAGGACGGTCATGAAATTCCCAAGTTTCAATTAAATAAAACACGCCCACAGTGACAACGCGGACACACGGCACTAATCATGCCAGTAATTAACCCAACAATGCGTTCAACTGATTAACATGATTCAAAGTGTAAATCTACACTCAAATAACGTTGATTTGTGATTGCATGTGTCACGAACATCAAACAGAACAGACATAATAAACGAGCAGACATCATTTAGTGTCACATTACACTCTGGACGAACAAAATTGGCATTCATTAACATACGCCGGTCCCAACATGTCACCGATTGTGGCTCTTCATTGTCTCGTTATTTTCGGCACAAGTTTAATATCAGCCACCACCGTCACGTGGCTCCCGAATTCAAGCTTCAAGTTACCGGACAGTTTCAAAGATCGGAAACTTCCTTGTTCTAAACAAACAGTTGTGTTCCCACAGACGATTGTCGGCTCCGTAGAAATTGCATCCGAGACTAAAGTTGGAGGATTCATCTTACCAGAAGACGGCGAACTGATTTTAGAGGGCTTGTTATCTTTTGGCGCAGATCCTGCAGATACTAACTGCACTGAAGGGAACGCCTACTACATAGATAAAACAGGATCTTCGTGGAACCAAGCAGATGTCTGGAGCTCTCCTAAGTTCAACAAAGCAACTCCTGACTCGGATAGAATACCGTGCTTTAACGATATCGTGGTATTTCCAAAGGATACAAAGACAACAGTGACTTTACCGTCATTAACGCAGTATGTCAAAGAAATTAGAATTGGAAACGACAGTTTTACTAATACTGCAGAGTTTAGAGACCATATAACTTTGCATATGCGAGACGACACACAACAGTTTGTTGTAAATGACTATTCAGTGATTGGTGTGACGATCGGTCATCCCATGCGTTGTTCGCAGTTCGGATGTGCGTGCCAAAATATTCCTTTGGAAATAGATTGCTCAGCTAAGTTTTGCCCAAAACCGGAATGTGTGGAACCAATCAAACCTCTCGGGTTTTGTTGCGATATCTGTGGCGGCTACTTATTGTTCGATGCGGACGAAGGATTCGACATGAAAACGTTTGGGGAGCTCGTTGAAGGCATTGCCGGTGAGAGCGGAAAGAACGATATCGAATATTACATCGGGTTTACGCCGGAAATTCCTTTTAGAAGAATTCAACTCGTGGTAGTCGACAAAGGTGAATACGAAGGGTCTAGTGCGGAAATCATCAATTCTATTAGCTATGCTCTCCACGATCATTGGGTGAAAGGGCACAAGGTTGCTCAGATAAGCGGCAGTCCTTTGTATAAGGCGGGTTTGGGCGGTAAAATCTTTGTGTCCATGTTTTTCGCTGTGATTTTAACATTGGGAGCTTTGTACGTGTACTATTATAAGATCCCGGAGCTACGGATCCCGATAGTGTCGAGACATATGCCTGCTGGTATATTCTCAAGGTTCGACAGGAGGTCTGACAGTGTAGTGAGTTTAACGAGAAGAGACAGTGTGATCAGTGCCGCTTCTAGAAGTAATACTGCGTTCAGGAATCCGCTGTACAACTCTAAAAGGGGGCGTGTCCAAGTGACTGAGTCTGCATCGGTAGCGGAAGAGTAATTTATGTGAGATTGTTATAAGTAGGTACATTTAGAGGTAGATGTTATTTTTATATATAACATAACATAACATCACGCCTTTTACCCCCGAAGGGGTAGGCAGAGGTGCACATTATGCCACTGTATAATGTAACACCCACTTTTCACTATTTATATTATGAGTCCCATGTAATAGGGGGTGAGCCTACTGCCAAATACCGGGCACAATTCCAGACTCCGTGCTCCTACTGAGATTTTTTTTAAAACCCAGTAATACTATGCCCGACACTGAAATCGAACCTGAGACCCCTTGCCCGGCAGTCGCACTTGCGACCACTCGGCCAACTAGGTAGAAAAGTCATTTTTCCATTGTAATTATATTCAAAATAATGACATGTCTTATAATAAATGTTATAATTATGAAGTTATTGTTTTGATTTCCTCATCACAGACTTTTCGAGTTTGTAACTAAAATCAATAAAATCATTATTCATATCCTCCACTCATAAAATTTACCTAAAAGTTATTCATAAACATTGTCGCAAAAACAATGGAAGCACTAACCGCCCATAAAATAATGAAATACTAAGTTGTAATTAGAAATAATTTCGCCGTTGAGTCAGAGCACCGCCCGCGTGGCTCAGTGGGGCGTCTCATCGTACTGTATATATGTATATGTTGGTTGTATATCACGTCCGCACCGTATTATGTTGCGTGCATGATTTATATGTGTCTATGACGGCCATACACAACATGTACAATACTTAGATGTTCAGCATGATTTGATTTGATATGTAGTGATAGGTCGGTAGTAGTAGTCTATTGGGCATACTATAAAAGGAGTTTCTCCCTGGTTGGTTTCAGCCGATGTATGTATGTACCTACCTAGTGTATCAGGTCGTTAGTTCTGTCGGTGTCATCTATGCCAATATCTTGAGTTCGGATCTAGAATTAGACAAGTAGACTGCACGGTTGGTGCGGTGGCTGGGCAACCCCTCCTTGTGTAATCCACAAATCGTTGTTTCGGATCTGGGTGTCATGTATATGTGAAATTGTATATTTGTAAACGCAACCAATCATAGTGTGGGGTACCGTTATTAAAAAAAATCATGTGGTTTCATAATTACAGAATCGGACAAGCTTTATTTGTTTGATTTTGACAAATCTGCAGCAATTACGAGTATGAAATCAATGCAACTTTTGCAAAAGCGGGCCCCAGGATGATCAGTAATGACATGAATAGTTGTTGTAGTATTAAAATTAAAAATGTAATTAGTCCATCAGTTAGATAATGAAAAAATATTAGACACGTATTTTTTATCTTCTCGTATTAAGTTGTCATACTAAGATAAAATGGCGCTAAGTTTCGGAGTGGGGGGTTGTTACGTCATAACGTGCTACAAAATGTGGCACGCTGTGACATCACACGATATTTCAAATTAATATATCGAAAAGAAAAAATACGCGTCAAGACTTTTAAATTATTGTACAAGACGGACATTAAAATAAAATTTAGGAAAATACCCTATTAGTAAAAGGTGTACCTGCACATTTCAGCATTGCTACGACCTCTTCAGGGCAGAGTAAATGTAAGCGTTAAAAGCATGAACTAAAATAACTTGTCACAATTCAATAAATAAATATAAATAAATTATAAATTATAAATAAAATTTATTTTCAAACATAATGATCTAGAAATGTACAGTTTTGCTTAAAGTTAAATAAAGTTCACAATATAAGGTGCCTGAACTAGGAAATCCTGTGTTTCAGGCGAGGTTAGGTAATAGTAGTAAACAATGTTATATAATCATTAGTACTTAAATGCTAATAAGTTAGGGTAAATTATGACAATATTTAATTATATGTACGCATACTGATGTAAAGTAATACTTAAATTCTATGCTTAATATGTATTTAAGAGTATGTATGTAGTATATAAATAAGAGATTAGGAGCTTACTTTAAGTATTATTTAGGAACTATTAATAACTTCTCTGTGTCTTCATAGGACATGTCTTGAAGGGCTTCCTTTAGAATTTTCCTACAGTTACGGATGCTATGGGGATAAATCCATAACGTTGCATTTAGTCTATTGTATAGGAGTGGTCCAAGAAATACAAAAAATTTGGTAATAAAAGCGTGCTTTGTACTTTTGGTTGGGCAAACAATATCTCTTCGCCGTTTTTCGGTTATCCCAGGATTGTATGGAAAAGCCGCATGCTGTTTTAGTACAGTGCTCATAATAAAAAGCTGCCGGACTGTTAGTACTTTACAAGAACTATATAGAAGGTTAGTGGGGTAAAGAAAAGATCGGCCAGTAGACACCTTGAGAATCGCTCTTTGGGCTCTTTCAGTGGAAAGCAGTAGAGTCTTATCCGTACCACCCCAAGAGGTAATACAGTAAGTTAATATTGATTGGCACAAGGAGAAATATACCTGTCTGATTATTTTTGGGTCAGCAATGTAACGTAGCTTTTTGAACACAAATATGAGCTTACGCAATCTATTGTTTAAAACGTTCAGATGTCGTTTAAAAGAAAGAGTTTCATCTAATATTACACCTAAATATTTTACATTACTACTCTGATTGATAAAAGGGCACATACATTGATCAGGAATGTTACAGTGATGGGCATACAAGGCTAAGGTAGAAACTGGGTTTTCCTTCCGAATAGCGAATTTGATGAAGTGTGTCTTATCTGTATTTAATGTTAGTGAGTTACACCGAAGCCAGTTATTTACATGATTAAATCCGTGCTGCGCAAGTCTGTAGACCTCAGTTTTCGAGTCAGCAGAAAAAAGTAGAGCGGTGTCGTCAGCGTATGACACGATTGTGCCGTGTTCCAGCTTAAGATTGCATAGGTCATTTATGTATATTAGAAACAATGTAGACGATAATATGCTCCCCTGCGGGACACCGTAGGGGGTGTTTTTAACGTCATCGCTGAGTACTTTACCGATTCTTACACACTGACTGCGGTCTTCTAGGTAACTTTGAAAAAATTTAAGCTGCATCCCTCTTATACCTATGATCTCCAGCTTACGCAACAACACAGGAATGGAAATTGTGTCAAAAGCCTTGGCCAGATCTAGGAAGACTCCCAAAGTATGTTTACCCTTATCAAGTTCTTGCGTTATGTAGTTAGTCACGTAGTGTACTGCATCTGCTGTTGAAATTTTAGGTCTAAATCCATATTGGTGTTCTGATAGGATTGACCTGTCCTCCAGGTATTTAAGCAGTCTATTATTTACTAGCTTCTCTAATATTTTAGACATAGAAGGCAGTAGTGAGATAGGTCTATAGTTCGTTAGTTGGGATTTACTGCCTGATTTATGTACTGGAACTATGACTGATTTTTTGAGACATGCCGGGAATATGCCTGAAGATAAACACAGTCGAAAAATATAAGTCAAAGGAGGTGTTAGAATGTTTCTAAACTGCTTAATAATTTTACTAGGGATATCATCCCAGCCAGCAGCGCTATCGTCCTTCAGAGTCATAATGATATTTTGTACCTCAGTCTCGTCAGTGTCGAACATCACAAAAGATGCTATGGGTGTGTACTTCTT